GCCTACGTCGCCTTCGTCTTCACATCACCGCGCTGAGAAATCCCAGCACGGCGTAGCCCCCCCCGTTAGCCGGACCCCACTAGAGGGTCCGTTGCCCGGGTTTGACCACGTGGAGGTGGGGGTGGGCTATCATCACAACTGACGGTCGGATTTTGATTCCGACCTACTTTTTGGCTGGGGCAGTCTTTTGATTGATGCCCCTCCTTCCTGCACCTGAAACAGGCCTTCGACCTGTCTGGCCCTTTGCAAGCATGGGCGATGTGCCCACGTTCCAGACACCTGTAGCACTGAGGACCTTTATCAAGAATCCTCAGCCTACAGGATGTCCAACCTAACCGTACTCGGTTAATCGATGTCAGGCGATGGGCAACTCTGAGGGGCACCTCACACCTTGCATACCGCCCTTTGCCGCCGGTGTTCGTGTGGACCGTGATTGGTCCCACGTGCGGCGGCAGTTCTCCGTCAGGAGACTTCAGGGCGGTGCAAAGTGCTCGGTGCACGTCTCGCTCCTCCTGCCACTCCTCCACGTCCAGGAGAAGGACAGTGCAGGTCATCGAAGGTCGGTGAACCCGCACGTCCATCTCCTGTAGGGCCATCTTCAGTTTGGCTGCCAAAAGGTCCACTTGTTCCGCGGTTCCCCGGACCTCCAGTAGGACGGCCCCCGCCTGGGTTCTCCGGGTCCCGGACACTTCAATGCCCAGGGCCTGGAGGTCAACAGCAGCCATGGCTATGCCCATTACCGTGGCATACTTTTGACCTTCCCTTAGGGGGCCGATCACAACTGCTTCCGTGCGAGGCACTCTGGTCCGCAGTTTCACCGTTTTCGGAACTCTCGTTACAGGCGGCGGTTTGGGCTTGGTCGCCGCATCCTCCTTCTTCTTGGTCCCTGCCTTTCTTCCTACAACTTTGGTCCACAGTGGTTCAGCGAGATCAACTCTCGCATCCCCTATTGCAGACCCTTTACCGTTTGCCTGGCTCCCTACCCCATGTTCAGACTGCGTCAGAGTAGGCGTAATGTCCGATACGGGGGCAGGGCCTAAGGCGGCAGGTCGTTTCGTCTTCCTCTTTCTTTTCTTCGTCATCTCCTTAGTGGTCCCCATCGGCTTGACGGCCGGTGGGTCCTCAACGATTTGCGTCCCGGCTTCTTTGGACGATTTCACCGTCGTCACTTTAGGCACCAGCGTTGCGGCTCCCATCTCAGGTGCAGCTTCCTGGTGGATCCTGGACGGAGGAGACGCTCTTCTACGTTTCTCCTCATCCAGGATCTCCTCCAGGTGCTTCGTCGCCATCTGCACCTCCTTGTGCACCCCCATACCCCGGCGTTTGTCTATGACCCCTCGAAGCACAGCCACTTGCGCGGCTATGCCTTCGAGCATAGACGACGTGGCAGTCGCCACGTCCGCCGGGTCATGCCACCTCTTGCGGCACGGCCGCACAGCACTCCTCAGCTCGCTGAGGGCCTGACACGAGAGGGAGATCTGCTGAACGAGGTACTCCAGGTGTGTGCCCGGGACCTTGTTCATCAGACTCCCCTCGACCTCAGCGGTTCTGGCGAGAGCGACAACGTGGTTGAGGCCGACATCGAACGTGGCCTCGTCGTCGCTCTCCTCTTCTTCCCCCAGAGGCGCCCTCCTCTTGCCAGGATGGCGCAATGGGGGAGAACTTTCGGGTAGTGGACTCAGCGCGGGCGAGTCGATGAACCTTCCTCAGGGGAAGGCTCACCGCTTCCACGACGGTCGCCCGTCCGCATCATCTCGTCCTCGTCATCCAAAGGAGATGTCACTTCCTGCTTTATTTGTCCTTCTGTGTACGCGAAGTACTCAACGGCCTGATAAAGCCCACGAACCATGCTTCTCATTATCCCGCTGTCGTTGTAGCGGGATAAGAGTTCCGAAGCGACTAAGCGAGCAACGCCCGTGAGGCGTTCCACCGCAGCTTCCCCTCGGCGACTAGCAATGCATTTCTCGATGAGTTCCGCTCTTAGCTCGGGCTCATCAACACCCTCTAAAGGATTATACTCCTTAATCCTTTCCGGGGCGAATGGACTTCCGTCGTCCAGGTCCCTCTTCATCAGCTTCAGTACCGTCGACACTGAACTCCGGAAAGATTCAGCCGCCCGGAATGAGCCGCACGGGAACGAGTCCATCGTCGATCCTCCAGTTTCCATGCTTTGGAGCCAGCCGTTCCATCTAGTGAATTCCGACTGAGTTAGCGGCATGTCGTCACGAAAACGCTCACGCACGCCTTCCCAGTCGTCCACCATCTCCTCGATGGTAGCTAAGCCACCAGCAGTTACCTCAGTGACCCTAAGGTCACTGGAGGATGCCTGCTTGGCACATCCTCCGACAGTAGCTTGGGCGCGAACGCCCCCTGGACCCTGCCTCACCAGTCCAACGGCTTTGATGCAGTCGCTTGATGACGACCGGGTCGAGCCTGCAACGGCACTCTTCCCAGCCGGCCCTGGAGTCTCCGAAACTCCTGGAACGGTACCTGTATTTTTCAAATGGTGTCCTTCCATGTTTGGTTTTACGGGTGTCCTTCCCTGCGTTTTACCTGCCGCCAGGGGATTTGTTTTCGATGTTACCTTCACCTAGGTGGTTGCCTTACCAGGCTATCGGGCCCACCCGCCCGTTATGGAATTACCCTCGATCGCTACCGCTTATTCGTCCACTCTAGGAGTGGCTTATATCACGGCTACCCTGCATATCTACAGGGTTAACGAGCGAACGAGGGGCTCGCTGTCCGCGACCGCTTATTCGTCAGTCCAAATGAATGGACTGCTTATTTCGCGGCTAACCTACATATCTGCAGGCCGTTCCTCTATCCGCAACCTGAGGACGCGCCCGATTCCCCGAGCTAGGGAA